TCTGACCGCCTGCGGGTGGACGATGCATCTCAATCTGCTGCCGGCTCCAGTTCGCATGTCAAGCGGGCGCCCAGTCAGGGCGCCACGTGCACGGCAGACCCGCGCGCCGAGGAGCACGTGGAGCTGGCCAGCAAGAGCACGGTCACAGGTTCATCTATGCCCGGCGCGAGAGCCATTGTCAAGGCCTTCAAGAGGGGGCATCGCTATCAAACGTTGCTGACCAGGTCGCCTACTTAGGCGTTGACTTGAGCAGCGGCCGCAGGTCCATGGGCTTCCTGCCTCGTCCCTGCTGCAGCTACGTCGGCGGCCAGGTGGAGTGCCGGGGCACGAGCGAGGGAGGCGCCTCAGTACCCTTCTTGATTTCCGAGCACCTGGGGCAGGTCCTGGACGTGCTCTTCCGCGTCGGTGCATCCAGCAGTGGTTAAGCTGGCTCGGCTTCCCACGCGTCCGAGGCAGTATTGGACGGGCGCGGAACGATGCGGCTCACCAACTGCGACCTGGCGCCTCAGCATCGCGCGAGGTACTTTCGTGGGCCAATGTCCGCACTGGCGCGCTACATGACAGCAGCGGGCTGGGAACTGGTGTCTCCGACGACGTGGTGCCCTCCAGCTGGGGCCGACTGCGTGCAAGACCATGCCGGATGGTGTTCTCACGGTGGTCAGTTTCAGTTTTTTGATCAGGCATCAGAGCTGATCGATCAGTTTACTGGCGCGCTTCGTCTAGGACACTGGCGCGACGTTGTTGGCAAGTTCTGCGGCGGCGGCATGGAGAGAGGAGTGGATCACTTCCCACTTCACGTTTCTGTTTCAGCTCGAGCAGGCCCCGCTCACGGCATGGCCGCCAACTGGCAGAGCTCATGCTCGTCGCGGCGGTGGGCGGAGCGCGGCCAACAGCGCGCAAGCACGAGACAGGGCAGGACGCGGCAGGACCTCCCCTTCATTTGTCGGCGGTGCGGAGGAGGCCCCAAGACTCCCCAGCACCGCTTTTGGCTTTGCTCTTGGAATAAGGGTAACCGAGCCGACAGTGTTTCGGATCACCTTACCCACATGCGCCTACCGAGGCAGACGTCGTTGAATTCACGTGGCTCTGCGGGCTCATGCCTCACCGGCCGCGCGCTGGTCCCCCCCGCAGGACGCGCGCCGGGTTCGCAGTCGCCCGCGCGACGAGCCCTGCGCGCAGAATTTCGGTTTACGATCTCACGACCGCTAATAGTGCGAGGCGATGCGCCGGGGGAAACGGGCGCTCATTGCCCCCGTTGCGTCGCGTCGGAGTGGCTAACGCCGCGATGCCTTCCGCCAGCTCCCCCGCGCATGGGTTTTTGCACGGCCCCCTGCCTGGGCGTCGCCAGACCGTTCCGAGGGGGGGGGGGGTTGTTTTGACTTGCCATTGCTGTCGAGCAATATCGTGGGCCACTGGCCTGCGTGACCGATCAGGAAGAGGCCTCCAACGGCTTCTGGCCAAGTGTTTTCGACGCCCCCAGAGGCCCAATGCGGACCTCTGGAGGAGGTTCAACGAAGCCATCCAGGCGACGGGCCGCCACCGTGGCGACATATGCGCGTTGCGAAAGTTTCCCCTCGCGTCGAGGCCGAAGACCTGTGCGCCAGGCAACCGCCTGTACTTTTGCTTGCAGGAAACACATTCGTCGACCATCTCGCTGGGGTCGCGGCTAAGTCGTTCGGCGCCCCTCCCGCCCAGCGGGCTGGATGTTCTCGAAGTCGGAGCGGATGCCCGTTTGATTCGGGAACGGCTCTTGAGGGCCACTCTAGAAGCACGTCAGTGTGATGGGGGAAAAGTCAGACGTCCTCGTGCTCCTGCTGCTGCTACCCCCTGCTCCTTCGGTGGTCGCGTTCTTTCTTATATCGAAAAATGGGGGATACAAAACAAAGCAACGGTCCATGGCGCCGAATCTTGCGGGAAAAAGTGGCCCAGGTGCCATAGTTCTGCCTCAGAGGCAGGCAAAGCGAAGTCGCTCGATACCGAATGCTTCAGTCTCGACAGAGTGACCGACCACCTGCTCAGAGTTTCTCACGGGCGGCGTTGACACCTCGCTGGAGGTCGGGCCCACCCGCCCCACGACATGTTTAATCGCGCGTATTTGGCCCTCTGGTTCTGTAAGTCATGCGGCAAGTTCTGCCCCAGTAACTTGCAGGGGTTGTCTGATCCTTGCAGCTCCCCCAATGCCCCGCTGACTCGCACTCGGCGGGGATACCTCAGCCGAATATCTAGGAACTCTTGGCCCAAAGTTCCCAGCAAGGCTGAGAAAGCGGCTCGGGGTATATAATTCATCAGTTCGCTTCGCGATTAGTCTCATCTCATCTCATCACCTCCTCCTCTTCCTCCTCCTGCTCCTTTTCTTCCTCCTCCTGCTCCTTTTCCTCCTCCTCCTCCTCCACCTCCCCCTCCTTCTCCTCCTCCTCCTTTTCCACCTCCCCCTCTTTCTCCTCCTCCTCCTTTTCGTCCTCCTCCTTTTCCTCCTCCTCCTCTCCCCCCCCCTCCCCCTCCCCTCTCCTCCTCCTTCTCCTCCTCCTCCTCCTCCTCATCTTCCCCTTCGTCCTCTTCCTCCTCCTCATGCCCCTCTTCCTTCTCCTTTTTTTTTCCTCCATCGATTGCTCGTTTCAGGTGTTGGAGGTAGCAGCATGGTTGCCGAACGGCGTCATGGCGAAACGGGAGGTGCAGCAATGTCTATCGTGTCCCAGCCCAGGCCAGAGTTTCCACAGTTGACAAACATCGGTCTTGAAGGGCTGGAAAATTGAACTGAACTCCTCATCCCCTTCCTCTTTCCCTCACACCCGGCGTCGCCCCCCCCGAATCAGGCTCCGAAGACGGACCGTCCGCACACGCCACCACTCCTGCAAGGGCCAGAGCAAGCTTCGATGGAGTTGGAATCGCGCAGAGGCTCAAACAAAGAATAGCGCACCGTCGGGGATTAGGGTTAACTCGGGCATGTCCCTCTACAGGAGGAAGATTCAAAATAGACAAGAATCAGAGGCAGCAGCGTGGAATGGGGACCCCCCGCTGCAATGTCCCGGCGGAGAACCGCGGGTCACGCCCGGAGGCCGCGAGGACGGCATCCACCTCCATCTTCGTTGACGTCCACCGCCTCATCTTCTCATTCCTCTGCAACAAGCACCTGCTCGCGCACCTTGTCAAGCAGCACCACCCTGGCATCTCTCCCCATCGTCCTCCTCCTCCTCCTGGCCATTTTGGTCCTCCTCCTCCTCCTCCTCCTCGTCCTGCTGCTCTTCCCCCTCCCCATCCATCCTCCCCCCCGTCCTGCTGCTCCTCCTCCTCCTCCTCCCTTACCTCCTCCCCGTCCTCCTCCCCCTCCTCCTCCACCTGCTAGTGCGCCAGATCATGGATAAGATGCGGCAGGCTGCGTGAAAAAAAAAAAAAAAAACGGCGCCGATACACCTAAATCCGCGGTCAGCTTGCGCGCGGTGAACGCGCACTCGATCCCCGCGGCATCGCCCCCCGAACTTCAAACTAGGCGGCGCAACGGACCACTTCTGACAAAGCCTCATCTCCCCCCGCGGGGGCGGTTGACCCGCCCATCCCGCTAGCAGACCGTGGAGGCCTTGGACAAGGAATCCAGGGCCTGGAGCCTTGTGGAGATCCACTTGCGCGGAAAGGGGGGGGGGGCAGAAGTTATCCGCCTTTAGTCATTGTGAGCTCTCTACCCTCCCTCTGTCTCCTCCCCCCCCTACTTCCTCCCTCCTTCCGCCCCCCTCCCCCCTCCCTCCAACCTCCCCCCCGCTCTCCGCCTGAGATCCCCTGGAGGAGGACGGCAGGTGAGCGGTGCGGTCGCAGTTGCGCGCCCGCGGGCGGGTTGAAATGTGTCGCCCAGTAGGGGTTGCAGTTGCGCGCCCGCGGGCGGGTCGAAATGTGTCGCCCAGTTGCTGTTGCGCGCCCGCGGGCGGTTTGAAATGTGTCGCGTAGTTGCGTTTGCGGTTGCGCGCCCGCGGGCGGCTTGAAATGTGTCGCCCAGTTGCGGTTGCGGTTGCGCGCCCGCGGGCGGGTCGTAATGTGTCGCGTAAGTTGCTTTTTGGCGCGGCGGGCGGGTTGTGTAATGTGTCGCCCCAGGGTGCGGTTGCGGCCCCTTGCGCGCCCGCGGGCGGGTTTTTTGAAATGTGTCGCCCAGTTGCGGTTGCAGTTGCGCGCCCGCGGGCGGGTCGAAATGCATCGCCCAGTTGCGGTTGCGGTTGCGCGCCCGCGCGCGGTTTGAAATGTGTCGCGTAGTTGCGCCTGCGGTTGCGCGCCCGCGGGCGGTTTGAAATGTGTCGCCCAGTTGCGTCTGCGCGCCCGCCGGCGGCTCGAAATGTGTCGCCCAGGTGCAGTTGCTGTTGCGCGCCCGCGGGCGGGTTGAAATGTGTCGCGTAGTTGCGGTTGCTGTTGCGCGCCCGCGGGCGGGTCGAAATGTATCGCCCAGTTGCGGTTTCGGTTGCGCGCCCGCGGGCGGGTTGAAATGTGTCGCCCAATTGCGCTTGCGCGCCCGCGGACGGGTTGAAATGTGTCGCTCAAGTGCGGTTGCGGTTGCGTTCCCGCGGGCGGGTTGAAATGTGTCGCGTAGCTGCGCCTGCGGTTGCGCGCCCGCGGGCGGTTTGAAATGTGTCGCCCAATTGCGGTTGCGGTTGCGCGCCCGCGGGCGGCTTGGAATGTGTCGCCCAGTTGCGGTTGCGGTTGCGCGCCCGCGGACGGGTCGAATTGCGTCGCCCAGTTGCGGTTAGGCGCCCGCGGGCGGTTTGAAATGTGTTGCTCAAAGCGCACTCCTGACGTTCAGTCGATCAATCAGTCAGTCAATCAGTCAGTCAATCAGTCAGTGAATCAGTCACCGGCGGGCACGGGATTTCACCCGGCTCAGCCGGGAAATAGTTCGGGGACGATTGTTTGATGTTTTCTTGTTATTTTGCGCATGTTTCGCTATTGTCCCATTTTCTCCCAAAGTCCGCTTGTGGGAGGACATGCCCGACCTAAGATTAGGGGACGACGAGGCGCCGCGCGAGGCCAAGGCCGCCTGCGAGCTCGCCGGGCCGCGCGGCCTGACCCTCACGCTGCTGCCGCAGCTGGCGAGGCTGGCCGCGTCCGCCGACCCCGGCGTGCGGCGCGGGGTGAGCGGGGCGCTGCGGGGGCTGCCGGCGGCCTCAGTGGCCTCGCGCCGGCCTGCCCTCCCCCCGCCCCCCCTCGTCTGCAACAGGCGCGACGTGAGGAGGGTAGGGGGGGGGTAGAAGGGGGGGAGGGGGTGGAAAACAGGGGAGGGTTAGGGGGGAGTGGGGAAGTTGAGATGGGAGTGAGGGAATGAGGAGGAGGAGGAGGAGGAAGAGGAGGAGGATGATGAGGAGGAGGAGGAGGAGAGGAGGAACGGGGGAGGGAGAGAAGGGAGGAGGAGGAGGTGAGGAGGAGGAGAGGATGAGGAGAACGCGGGGGAGGAGGAGCGAGGATGAGGATGAGGAAGGATGAGGAGGAGGAAGAGTATGAGGCGGAGGATTAGGAGGAGGGAAGGGGAGGAGGGAGGATGAGGAGGAGAGGAGGATGAGGAGGTAGGAGAGAGGGCGAGAGTGCGGAGAGGGAGAAGACGGGAGAGAGGGAGATAGTGAGAGAGGGAGAGAACAAGGATGGGAGTAAGGAGGAAGGAGGAGGAGGAAAGAGGCGAGGAGGAAGGAGAGGAGTAGGGATGAGGAGGAGGAACAGGAGAGAGGAAGGAGAAGGAGGAGGAGAGATGATAGAGGGCGAGAGGGCGTAGAGGGAATAGGAGAAGGGCAGAGAGGGAGAGAGGAGACGAAGGAGGGTGAGGAGGGAGGAGGGAAAAGGAGAAGGGAAAAGGAGAGGAGGAAGGCAGGGGCGGGAGTAGGATGAAGGAGGAGGATAGAGGAAAAGGGTAAAAAGGTGGTGGAGAGGAGATGAAAGAAAGGGAGGGGGAAGGGGTAGGAGGACAAGACTAGGTGCAGAGTCTCGCGTCATATCTGACATTCCCTCCGACGCTACCCGTCAACCATCCCTATCACACAATGGCGAAGGCAGATCCCCCATCTACGGTCTGCATCAGAGGGTCGGAAATGTCGAAGCAGGTGCAATGCAGCAGGAAGCCAGGCGCCCAAACGGCGCAGCGGCAGTTCATGACTCTTCGAATTCTACATGCGAAGATTGCAGGCGTGATCAGAAAGCGTACGGGAAAACACACGCCGCCCACTGTAGCTTCGGGCGTCCGCGTTTGCGCTTGCGGTACCATTGCCTTGGTGTGTTCCCTCCAGGCTCACACACGAGGTCTCGTAGGATATGACCATCTGGCAATCGTGCTATATTGCTATACAATTTGCCTTGTTGTTCTAAGAGGTCGTCGCTCAGTGGGCGTGCGCCTGCACGTGCCCTCACCTCAACATTTGATACTCTCGACACGTACGAATGAGGTATTTTCAGGATCTGTCGCAAGCAAGCCGCTTGAAAACTGTCGAGTCTGTTCCGGTCTACTTTGAGAAGCCACACAGACTCCAAGTTGTAGAGAAGCTTGGGAAGTATCACTGCTCGGAATATCTCCAACTTTCTATGTTTTGAAATATTTGCATGGTTCCAACATGCTTCTAATAGTTTGAATACTCTTTTTGCTTCGCCAATTCGCCGGGTCACCTCTGGCTTGCTGTTCACTGTCGTATTCAATAAGCCCCCCAAGTATACAGCCTGCTCCACGGATTTCAACGGTTGACCATCCGGTGAATACACTTGACCGTTGTTACGCACTCTCATCACCATTGTTTTCTTCCAATTGAGTTCCAGTCCATACTTTTCGCCCTCTTGTATGATCAAGTCCAATATGATTTGTAACTTCACCGGGCTAGCACTCAGAAGAACTGTGTCGTCCGCGTATAACAAGTCGTTACATACCACGTACTCCGGTTCCTCGAAGTCGCTTGCCATGGTTTGGTAGATTTTATCCACGTCGAACAACATGACTGTTTGCACAATGATGAACAAGTACGGAGATAAAGGGCATCCTTGCGCGATCCCTGCCTTTTGTTTTCTCAGTGTGGAGTCGCCGCCCGGGTCTTTTATATAGAAATCCCTTCCATCGTAAATTGCCTTGATCATGTCCACCATTTGACAAGGAATACCAAATCTGGCAAGCGCTCGAACCATCGACTCGTGTTTGATGCGGTCAAAAGCCTTTGCCCAATCCAGTAAGATAGCGAGTACCCCAGGTTCTTCTGCAGCGTACGCGGCGTCGAAAATGCGGCGCGCTATTATGATAGCGTCGACTGTGCCGCGGTTTGGCCTGAAGCCGAATTGCGTTGAGCGGATGCGATCTTCCGCCCCTCCATTTTGAAGTCTTTTCTGTAGCATCCAAGCCAATACTTTGTATCCCACTGCTAATAACGAAATTGGGCGGTAATTCTCTGGCAACCTGGCGTCTCCCTTCTTGTACAATAATACTACTTTCGCTGTTTTCCACTCTGCGGGTATACGTTTTTGCTTCCAGCATTCCGCACAAAGATCAAGGAGGGATTCGCATGCGTCTTCTGATGCAGATAAGAATTTCCAAAACTCTGGGTATATGCCATCTGGTCCCGCTGCTTTTGAAACCGATAAGGCTTTCAATGCGCGCATCAGCTCGTCCATGGTGAGCTCCTCCGTGTTGATGTTTAGAGAATTCCCCAAGGGCTCTGTCCCTCCAGGCAGCTTGTCTGGGAAGCTGATCTTCCATTGTTCATTTTCAAAATAATCTGCCAGAATGTTTGAGCGTTGGTCGCTGTCCACGATATCCCCCTCTTTGTTTTTGATTGTAACCGGCGTCTTCGAAGGTGTAGCCTTTAGCCCCCGTATGGCTTTCCAAGAGCCCCCGGCCAATGTGGATTCCAACCATTTTGATTTGTCCCGTCGCACTGCCTTCTTGACTTCCTTATTGAGTTTTGTCTCTTCCCCTGTGCCGTTTGTTCTCGCTTGATCTCGTTCTGCCAGCAAGGCAATGGTGGCCCCTGAGATCCATGGTTGGTGCCGTCGTGCTTGGGGCTGGGCTGCAATCTGCGATGCTTCATGCATGGCTCGTGCTACGTTCGCCGCTGCATCGTCCAAAGACTCTGTTTTGGGTAGCTTCGAACGTGCCTCATGATACGTTTCCCAAAATCTTGTATCCAATTTTGGTGGCCCCCTCAGCGTGGCGAGACAACAGGATGTCTTTGGTTTTTTCTTTTGCGTCTGCTCGAAATGCATGTTCAACTCTGTCAGTACCACGAAATGCCGAGTCGGCAGAGATGCTGTACGATCGCTCCATATATCCCGCACCATATCCATGTTGGTATTTCCCACCAGACAAAAATCGAGTTGTGCAAAATACTCCGGAGAAGGTGCGCTGCTGGCGCCCACGCCTCGGGCGGGCTGGAGGTACGTGACCGTGTTGTTGGCGGCATGATCGAAAAACGTGTTGCCAATCATGGAGCTCGTAGCCCTGCACGTTTCCAATAATAGTTCTTTGTTGGATTGTGCTAATCGCGATGGTGGGGGCGATTTGTACATATAATCTCCAATTACGTCTTCTTCGCCAGCCTCTCGTATATATAGCCTGGCATTGAAATCCCCATAACCAAACGTGCATGTGTGCGACCCGGGACGCCTCCAAGCCTTTGCGAAAGAGTCGAAGAAAGATTTCCGATACTCGTAGTCTTTGCCAGCATGTGGTGCATAGCCACACAGTATATTTGCTACGCCGCCACATATTTTGAGCTTCAAAGACGCAAGCCTGTCGCCCAGCAGACAAAAGTTGATGACGGACGCGATGGCGGATTGCGCAATGACGAACCCGACGCCGGAGTATAGATATCCTGCGTGGTCTTCGTGGGTCCCAGACAATATTACCAAATACCCATTTCGCATAAAATGGCAAGATTCCTTGCAATGTGTTTCTTGCATACACAAGATAGCAATATCGAGTTGAACCATGTGGTAGAATATCTGCTCCAGTTTCCCGTAATCTTTTCCAAGCCCTTGCACGTTCCAGGTGGCAACAACTTGGTGTTCCAAAGGTCTGCATGTTCTCTTTTTGCACCCCCATTTTCCTGGGACTGTTTGTTTCCAGCGCCCACTGCCTGATAGGGAATGTCTTGTGTTGACGCCGTCACTCAGACTGTCGGCAACTTTGTCCGTGATGTCTGAATGGCCGCCTTCATGTCCGAAACCCTGGGGGTGTAGAACAGGAGGGACAAAACGATCAGAAGATTGAGGATGAAGAAGAACATCTGCACCTCCATTTCTTTGTCCGCTGGCGCGGCCGGAAGTCGATGTCTTCGGTGGTGCGGTAGATGGTGGCGCAGTCCTTGGCGAAGAAGTTGGTGAAACAGCCGATGATGCTGGGACGAGGGTAGCTTTGCCCAATCTCGCGCCAATATCGGCATCATACTTCGAACAACTATTTGGCTCGCATCCGGCTCCGGTGCCGGCCGTTTCCGGCACCGGCCGGAGTCCCTATTTTGCCTTTGTTTTCCCTTTGCCTTTGGCGCTTCCCTTCATACCACGCTTTGCATTGCAGGGCAATGATCCCGTCGAGCAGGGCCCTGCAGCGCATTGCATTCGCTTCCCGTCGAGCAGGGCAATGATCCCGAAAGGGTACGCGATGCATTGTAGAGCACGGCATGGCATGGCGTAGAAGAGCACCGCAAAGCGTAGTATCAACCTAGCATTGCATTGCATGCCGTGGCATGGCACGGGAAACGACGCCAGCGTTGCAGCGGGAGCACGAGTCGAAACGAGCGGAAGCGCGGAAATGAGGCCAGCGCTGCAGCGGGAGCACGATTCGGAACGAGCGGAAGCACGGAAATGAGGCCAGCGCTGCAGCGGGAGCACGATTCGGAACGAGCGGGGCCCGAAAATGAGGCCAGCGCTGCTGCGAGAGCAGCATTTTGAAAAAAATGCAGGCGAAAACCCAACTCCGGGGAAACCTGTGTGTAAAAAACAATATGCGGGGGGGGGGTCGGCCACTTTCAAACCGTCATCAGGGGAAGAGGGAGAGTAGTATTCATATGGAGTAATTGTGGAGTAGCGAGAGGGGGAGGAGGCAAACTATGTGCGCTCTCGAAATCTGACGTCCCCTCCCTCCCATCCCGTGCCATGGCGCAGATGTCCTCTCTATTCGCACAGTCGGATGTCGAG